TCGGGAGAAATTGGACAGCTGCACTGCTCTGCATTATGAATGTTTGCCTCACAAAAAAAGCAGGCGTTCTTGCTTAGAACTGCTTTCGCCGATGGGGTTAATGACTCGGTTGTGAACCGTTGATGTTACATTAGTGCGTAAATCTGTACCTTGGCACTTCGACATGTGCTATTTTGCAGACACGTGCAGAACAGCTCGTTCGTGAGACTCTACTTCTGCCTGAATAAACAGCTAAGATTCAATGCTCGCCTTCTGTTCTTGAGTAAGCCTGTCTGGGTGCTCTGTGTGTTGGCGTGCGATGGCGTTGTTAAAGTCGAGAACGACATCGTGAGGAAGCAACTTCAGTAGTATGGCGTAGAACATCTCGGAGTAATTATCCTCCGATACTCCGAAATTCTTGGGGGCACGCGTCTGGGTTCGAACCGCTTCATGAAGGCATCGAAGTCATTCAAGATCGTTGAAGTAGTGCACGGGTCGCATGTCGATGAGTAGTTGCATGTGGGCCTGAATGATGACGTCAGTCTTTGCGAAGTGTTGTTTCAAAATGTCTAGGCCTTCTGAACAGCAGCTTGCTGGTGCTGGACGTCCGGCGATAGCCGGTGCCGTGTCACTGGTCAGAACCAAACGCAGATAGGCAAACCTGTCTACGTCGGTGAGCCCACCATTGTTGTGAACCAGTTTACTGAACTGTTCCTAAGAAGTTGTCCACAGTTTAAGATTGGCCATCGAACTTCATGAGGTCAATTTTTGGAAGTTGGATGGCGAGCTGCTGTGTGTGTGGCACGGGTTTGATAGGTGCTACCGCTGATAGTGCACAGTTCCGGGAATCTTGAAGTTGGCATAGCCTACACTACAGCTTGGCTGACAAGGTTGTGGCTCAATCATTGTATTCCACAACCCAGTCAAACTCTGTCTCCGCTTCCATGGTTGATAGCAGAGAGACGATGTCGAAGTGTCGAGGTCCTTGGCGCTCAAGTCGATGTGCAGCTGGTTGATGCATTCGTTGAGGATGCAATGCTCTTCTTCTGTGAGACGTCCTTCAGTGAGTGTTGCCTGTGCTTCGTTGATAATGTGTGCTAAGCTCTCTCAGACTTGCGCTTCAGTTTGAGATCTTCAATGTTGCGTCAACGTGTTGAACTGCTGCAAGTCAGTCAATCGAATCCGTAAGCGGGAAGACCTCAAGTTCATCGACGTGGTTCGCTGTTTCGATGGTTTTCGGCACCACTTGTAAAAAATCGAGCCTCCCTGCTACGTAAAAGATGGGGTTTACAATAAAACGCAGCCCGACTTTGTGGGTTGCTGCGGTAGCGCGTGAATCCGAAGGACCGGAACTCTTCATCCTCCTAGTCGTCGATCATTTTCCAACACCACCCATACCTCAAATCCTGCAACATCCGCACAACTGGAGAGCAGTGTAGACACAGATGACACCTCTCTTACGCCATCCCCAAGCATAGGAAAAGCTCTTGTTTCACCCCCCTCCCAGCCACTCGGCTTCTAGAGGCCGATGGCATGGAGGCATCTGCTGACGCTGATGAACACGGCGCCGCAGCAAGAGCATGTGTCATCCACACCTCGCAGCATTGCTGCGGTATTTCCCATGTATCGCGAATGTTATCATTCGCAAGCAGCTCAAGAAAAAAAAGAAGAAAACTAGAGACAACAGGCAGTCGAACAGCCCACACTCTCAGCTATGCCTGTTGCTTCTACCTGCATTACTACTGCCCTTCTGAATGCCCCGGCCGCAACGACAACCACGATAGAGGTGAAAGAGGTACCGTCCTCCAACTCCCATCCGGTGAAGGACAAGGGTAAGAGTGTGGCTGCCCTCTCAGTCAACCACCATGGCCCTACTGGAGATTCGGCAGCCACGGAAGGATTTCAGTAAGTCTTGAGCAGAGGAGCCTGCCGCCGTCGAGCCAGAAACATTGCAGCTACAGCAGCCATTCCCTTGGACCAGACCATTGCGGGTACGGTGCTCTACCATCCGTCGGCTCCTGGTGGCACCTTCAGTGGCTCCCTAAACCTCGTGCTTTCCCCCGAGAATGCCTTGAGCAGTTCTTCACCATCAAGGAGCTTCAAGGGATAGCAGTCACTGCAAGGAAGCCTGCTGACTACAACACAAGCACCGGTTTCATTCACGGAGTAGATGGTGAGCCTGCAGATGGCAGCCTGCTGCCCCGCATAAAGTCTGCGGTACCGATCCTAGCTGCCACCAGGAGATGATGCACCGGCGACGCTTCGCTTTGCCGGACCTGTACCCCCAGAGCATGTGACCCTTTTTTTGGTGCGGTTCCCGGTTCGGCAGGCCAGGCTTCGCCCCTTGCAGTGTCAGCAGTGTGGCAGGTTTGGCCACGTCAAAGAAAGTTGCAGCTGGCCAGGCAGCTCTATCCAATGTGGACTGGCCCACATAGAAGGGGAGGACTGCCGTCAACCCAACCCGCGATGCGTCAACTGCGGTGGCCCACATCCAGATGACGCCCCAAACTGCCCCCAATGGCAGGAAACAGCGGAGAGTGACCCAAACCATGGCCTTCACCACCACCATCCTCTCAAGACGTAGCCGTGACAGCAGCAGTACGAGAGGAAGCACAACAGGCTCGCACTAGTGTAGTGAAAGGCCACTCTACACCCCATCTTTCTCTTGCCAGACCTGTCCCGGCACCGCGAAAATAGCGGTGCCCATCAACCCAGGTGCAATAGCTCTCTAGTCCAGCAGCCCCTCTCGTCCTGTCTGCCGCCCCTGCGGTCTTGTACAATGCTACCAGCTCCACGGCCCGGCCTGCTTCCCTGCCTGTTGTGACCAGTGTTCCTGTAGCACCGCCTTCTGCGAGCTCTGCACCAGTGACACAGCCAGCGGCCAGCACTCCTGCAGCCTCACCAGCAGCAGATCAGGTCACGCAGATCATTACCAGTCTGCTCCTCACCCTAAGAGCCGTGGGAGAAACCCTCCCACTAGACAACCCCCTCAGAGCCCTCTGTCTCCAGGCAAAAGACTCCCTGCGCATGACAGCGCATCATGGCTGAACGTCCCACAACCCAATGCTGCCAGCTCCTTCGCATCATGGAATAGAATTGCAATTCACTAGCAGCACCCACCAACAGCAACGCAGCCTCCGCCGGCGACTACGCATAGGATGCCATTAGGCAGCAGCTCGCTGGCAGTGGGCTTGTAGCTATGCCGGACTGTTCCATCTGCGGCAAGGTCGGGACCTTGGAACAGCTGCTGCTTGTGTGCCCAACCCACATCCAGCAGCGAAGCTAACTCATCCTGACGTACTGCACCTTTGGCCTTCCAACATGCAGCCAAGATGACATGCTTTTCCTAAAAACCTGCCAAGAACCAGCCTTCAAGAGCCTCCTAGAATACTTGGATTCTATGGGGCTATCATCCAAGCTGTAGAACTACTTGATGTCCCCTGCAGCCCCACCCTTCCAAGTCTTACAACTCAGACTGCCCTGCCATCGGCCCCTATCTGCTTCCTGCTCTACCAGCCACGGAACTCACATTCTTCCAAACGTTCTCCGTCTACCTGCTTCAAGACTCTTTTCTCCACTCCACCCCCCCCCCCCCCTCAAGGCTCTGAGCTGTGCTCCCGCAAGGGCTGCAAAAGATAGTGCCTTTTTCCTTTCCTTCAACCACACATTCACTGTTTCATGCTTCCGCTGTCCACCGCATGTTCAGCATTTCTCTTTTGCGTGTGTGGTGTGCAAAGCTGCTGCGGACTCCTTGAATTGTCGACTTCTCGTATAGCTATAGCCAGTATCAAGAAGCGCAAGACCCTTGACATTGTGACAAATTTGAAGTCTATCCAGCATGTTGAGGTGGTCAAGAAATGTTCGACCATCACAGACGACTTCGGGATACCACGGAGCACTCCGATCCGAGTACCTTGTTGAAAAGCGAGGCAGATATTAAGGCAGAGGCGGTGGAGCAGCGAATGTCGGGAGCCTATCATGTGTGCGCTTCTGCCAACGGGAATGTAGAAAAGGCACTTTTTGCCTGGTTTCACAAGTGCACGAGAAGAACATTCCAGTGGATGGGCCGATGCTGATGGCCAAGACCAAATGGTTTACCGCTGCACTCAGTGAAACAACTTCCCCGACAACAGCGGGTGACTTCACCGATTTAAGCAGTACAACAACATCGTCGACAAAGCCAATGCTGGCGAAAGCGAAGCTGTCAGCAGAAAGAACATCCAACAGTAGATGACGAAGGAGTGGCCGCAAATCTCCCCAAAGTTTTCTCCCGTGCAGATTTTCAATGCCTGAAGAGACGTGAAGACGGACACAGTGGTCAAATGCTTACGCAAAGCAGGCTTCGAGAAGGCGGAACTTGTGGAAACTGGTGAAGACGACGACAACCTGCGCATAGACGACACGTTTCACGAGTTGTCGTCCCACTTTCCCCACAGCAGTTCCACAAGAATTGTCTGCGGACGACTTCGTGGAAGCAGACTTCAATTTGCAGGTCGACAGCTCATATGACGAGGAGGATCGTCCGGACGAGGCCCTGGCTACACACGTGTAGTGCACTGCTGAAGTGGCGGCAGCGTCGTGCTTCATACCAGGCTGCATAAATAAGGTGCCTTCCTCTCTGACCACTACCACCTCGTCCATCATTCGCCATTATATTGACCACATGGAGGGAGCCGGGATGTCGCATCTGGACAGCCTTGATGAGATCGAGACTAGAGTCTTCAACATTTAAAAAACGAAGAAGCAGGCCAAGATTAGCAATTTTTTTCATGCAAATAAATCATTTTGCTGCAGGCGTATGGGCAGAATCATTTGTCATTCTTGAATGCACCTAATGTAGGTGATGGTCTGCTACAGGTGAGCTCTCGGGAGCCTCTATTTTTTTATATCAAATTTTTCATACATCGACCTAATTTGCGATCCTCTTCGAGTTCGATATATCCGTGTTCTACTGGGAACATGAAAAGATCACTGGAGTTGAACACATTTAGCCTTGCAAACAGCCCTGAAAAAAAACTCACTGTGAGATCAATGGAGGAAGTAGGGACCGCTTGATGGTTATGTCCAGTGGGAGTCCACCATCAGCACTGCATTCACCGGTGGTGTGTGAGAAGAATGCCAGCCTGGACAACGCCCCAGGTTCTGGAAGAAAGTGGTTCACACAGCTGGTCTGAACAGAGGAGCCTACCTAGCTACGAGCTGTACCTGATGTGACAAAACTTTCGGATTTACACTGGTTCAGTACAGCACAAACAATCTTTATTAAGATAAACACTTGAGGAGGCACACCATTACTGTCATGTTCAGTGTAAAGTCTGAATCAGTAACATTGCCCGATACATTTTGTGTTCTATGTGTGAGCGAAAGCTTGTAGAGGTTGCAGATGAGCACACTTCAAGAAGAGACAAAACATATTGGCCAGTAGCATGAAGGGTGGGGCTTAGACAACGATTGTGAGCTTTTTTCAAAAGGGCACACGCTTTATCGTGGAAGACATCAATAGACGGCTCTTACCCTCACTGGTTGCCCCATACCACTGAGAAGAGAATGAAGCAGTTTCCAAAGCACTGGTTCACTGTTCTTGGAAAACCAATTTCTGTATCTGCCCATGTGGTGCGATGTGGTGTGAGAAAAAGACAAAAAAGAACAGGCCATGTCGACCGGAAAGATCAAAGCCAGAAGCCGAAGCAAAGACACCAACATTCAATGGCTCACACTGCCGGAGGGAGGGACCTGGTTGGGTGTCAATGCTCAAGGGAACTACGTACTTGTAACGACAAGTCTCCTGTCCCAGCGGGCTGGAAGCCTGCCTGCCACTTGACCCTTGTCATCCGAGAGTGTCAAAGCCACCATGAAAGCGTTGTCAAGTCCCAATGCAAGAGCAAGTAAAACTTATAGATAAAGATGCTTGCCATATCCATATTGTTTATGAGATTATACAAGGGTTTTAATGGTGCAAAGGCCATGCTTAGCCAAAGAGCGCCATGAAAAATAATCGAAGCATTACAGCGAACTGTGATTTACGATGGTATGTAAGGAATGTGAGCTATGGTGATATCACAAGGCTGTATAGGAGCCTAAAGTTCTGAGCCCTAAGGTAGGCTAAAGCTTATAAGTATTAAAATAAAGGTGGTGATGTGAAATGTGTGTAGTGGGTGTAAATGGCCATGCTCATGGTAATAAAACTTGAGTGGGGAGATATGGTAATAAGACATGGTAATAAGACATGGTAATAAACTTGAGTGGGGAGATAGAGTGGGGAGATGCATGCCCTTGAGCCGAAAGGCTGCGAACCAGGTGCAGTCTTTAGTGTAGCCACCACAGCAGCGGCCTCTGTACAGAGGTCATGCTACCGATCACCTTGGAATATGGAGTGAAAATGGAGTGAAAACTATGTAAATCTCTTGAAAACATGAACATCGATTCAAGTTTAAAAAGCCCGTTCCTACCAAACAGAATGTAGTGGAAGCTGGTGTTGGTAGGGTAATAAGTTCTTTTTTCTTGGAGCATCCAACTCATTGCACTGAACGAGGATGTGGAGAATCACTCACAGATAGGTTTTTTCAGAAAACCCAGATGGCACTGTTGGCACTGTCACCTGAAGGTTACCATGGTTGCTGTTAATGGTTTCACGGTTACGGCTGCGCGCGGTGCTGTCGCCAACCCTTAAGCATCAGTCGCGGCTCAAGCGTATCCCGCACTGTCGCAGCAGCGTTTGTGCCAAGCCATGAACGGCAGTCACACTATGTCTAGTGAATAATTTAATTACCGAGAGGCACTATGTAAATTTAGCTGAACACCCTGCTTTTGGCTAATAGCAGCAGGGCTAGCTTCACTACGTTCGTCTTTTTTTTTTTTCACTAACAAGGTTGAAAGTAGCTAGCAAACAAATGGTAAAAACAATGCGCGAGCAGCCGCTTGTCCAGCAGACACTGAGCAGACGACAGCTCAGCGCTCTCGCAGTCACCACGAGATCTGCCAGCTGCTGCTCCGCTGGCCCAAACACCTGGATGAACTGGAGCTTCAGATGAAGGTGACTGCAGCGCCACCGCAAATTTTCAGAGCTTTTTTTCCTTCACCCACACCGCTTGCAACCCATTCCAGTGGACCCACTCTTCCATTCAAGTACACTCTAGGCAAGTGGAAATGCGAGGACAAAATCATTGACAACTCTGAAGCAAATGAACACGTGTAACTGTCTGCTTGGTTCTCTTTCTAACATGGTTGCCGACAAGTGCATTTTTACCAGCTGTCATTCTCGAGGAGAAAGACTGTCAGTTGTGTCGGCAGGCAACAGGCTGGTATCCCCACCGCCGTGTTGGGTGCCCTGTGGCTCGTTCTCCATGGGCTTCGACAGCAGCAAGCCCGTACTGTCACCGCACGACTGGTGAAGCAGCCCTTCGCTTCCCCAACTGTCTTTTTCAAGCGAGCACGTCTTCGCACGACGTTTGCTTGGCATTGATGCTTCCCCAGTCTCAGCTTCACTACTGATAGGACTTGATATGGTTGGATTATCTGTAACAACTTTGCTATTTTCAGCATTCTTCACTGTTGTGTATAGCGTTCCTTTGCTTTTCTTAGGGTAGAGGATGTCACCAAGTTGGGAGTCTGAGGCATGACCAAAGAGGTTCCGCTGCGCACTGCGACTGTATGTCCCCGCTGTTTCACAGAAGAGCCCCAGGTTGTGGTTGGATTGCCCAGTTTCTGTGGCAATGCAGCCGCTCACTTTCATGTGCGTTCCAGTCATAACTGAATAGAGCAAGGCTTCGTGGCTCTCTGCTGCAGCAGCTGCCTGAAAAGGCAGAGGAGCGCTCTGACTGCTGGCCATCAGACACATGGAAGCAGAGCTTGGCGACCTGAGACAAAAGACACAAAGTGCATATTTAAATTCCACTTGAAATGTGTCCAGTCCTAGGTTTTATTCGTGCTCAAAAACAAATATTTTCAATTATTTGTATCTATTTTAAATTTTCAATCTTTGAATATGTCGCTCACAACTAACAATACCGGCACATGCACAAGATGAGGAGCTTCTAATGATGATAGCAAGCCAATCATCGGACAAACAGGTTGCACGTACCGAGGAACCGAATGCAGCAGGCGACCCTGCCTATCGACTAGCTCCTTTTGAGCTTCTATCCACTCTTCTGGGACTGCAATAGCAAGCATAAAACATTATCAATTAGAGGTAGACATCACATCTATAAAACACTGAAATGCCCAAATCTAAATTATAAAAGTTATGCAAATATAACTACATTCGCATGTAAATGACGTGGAGCTATATGCAAGTTGACTATAACCATACGCACCTTTTCTCAGTGTGCTACTAGAATGCTTCGAAAGGGTCATGAGTCACTCTTACGATAATGATTGGATGACCTTATTATCAACGTTCATTACTGCATGAATTGATTGTAACAAAAATTTCTCAAATACATTAAGAACAAGCAAAGCTACCGAGCCCTACATTTTGAGACTTATCCGGTCTCTTAATGGCCAACTCCGGTGATTTTTCGTAGTTAATGGATCTCAATAAAATTCACTGGTTACATTCATTAGCACGTTCGCGCCATTCATGCCGAGTTGCAAGCTTGAGAGTTTCACAAATTTTTTTCAAATGAATTCTATAGCTTGCCTCGAAACGCTCACCTCGCTTGCCAGAATTAATGGCAACATTGTGTGTGTGATGTTGAGTTTTGCCTGGCAGAAATGACGGAACTGATGTGCCACTGCAGTGTCTGCTTGTCTGCTATGGATTGTGTGAGTTTGGTCGGCACATCCTTTGTTGAGCGTGCAATTTCTTTTTGCGTGTTGGTGGGCGTGTGATAGGTGGCAAGTGGTGTTGCGTTGTAAGCCACGCATGATTTGCTATATATTGACCGTAACAACATAAGCATATTAACCGATTGCGGCCGACGGAGTGGACAGGTAGCGACGTCTGGTGGGCGTTATGTGCAATCATGCAGGTTCAAGCAAATAATTACATCACATGTAGAAGCGCACTTGGTTGAGTTTCGGTTTCAGTAATTAAAAATTATTTTCGAATTGGTTGATCATTTCAGCTATTAGGCGTGTGATAAGAGTGTCTCAGAAACATAAGATCACCATTCCCTCGACATGGTAAAAAATCGCCGGAGTTGGCATTTAGGCCTTTGGTTACTGCACGAAAATGGTTATTTTTCATATGTTTCGGGAAGGACGTTCTTCCCAGCTAGAAAAATACTCCAGCATGCATTGCGGCATGCCATATTTCGCACAAATATATGCTCCTTCCAAACAATACACATTGTAGAGCAACAAATATATTTATAATGAATAAAAATGTGAAAAGTGTGATTTTTGGTATCCAGCTGATAAACAGTGTAGTAAAAGACACTAAACATGTAAAAATATTCAAGGCAAAGACAATTCAAAATTTACATTTTGAACATAACCAATGAACAGTATAAAAAATAAATGTTGTACAAAATGTTTCTATTCACATAGACAAACAAAATCTGAACCAAAGTGCTTCTTCATTGCTTGGGCCATAAGGTGAAGCAGTGCTTAGTTTTTTTTGTTTTTTTTTTTGTGAGACAAAAGTAAACTTGAATACTCAGTATAATTTTTTTTTTTTTTACGATACGAGCTGGCAGATGTTGAAATATAGAAGGATGCCAATGATGTGAATAATCGCTCGATAAATCAGATGTCCTATAAACTTACCTATTTCGTCTGGCTTCACCTCTATGAGCCATCTAACTCTGGCTAGGTTGGCATTCTAATATACGAGGTCCGTAGGAAAAGTATCCGACCTTATTTCTTTTTGTAAGCACCTGATAGATTCGAAACAAGCGCGCATGCATCAGCCGACTCTAAACCTTCATGCAGATGCGTGAATTTTTTCCCGCCTGCCAATAGCATCAGTCGCAGGGGATGGAGCGACTGGAGCAATGCTACTGCATCAAATTTTGCCAGAAACTGAGTGACAGCCAAGTTAAAACCATTGGGAATATCAAGATGACGTTCGGTGACGAGGCTATGAGCGGCACACAGATTAAGGAGTGGTACAACCAGATTAAAGGCGGCCGAATATCGGTGGAGAGCGAGCCACGCTGCGCTCGGCCATCAACATGCTGAAATGACCAGGTCATTGCCGAACTGAATGCTGTGGTGGTGCGCGATCATCGAGTGACAATCTGGGAAATTGTGGAAAAGGTGGGCATCAGCAGTTCCTCTGCACATTCCATTACTACCGAAGATTAGGCCATGAAGAGAGTTGCGGCGAAATTCGTGCCGAAACTGCTCACGGTACAGCAATAGCAAATTCGTGTTCAAGTCTCACAGGACATGTTGGATTTCACAACCAGTGACTCTAACTTCATGAAGGCCGTTATCACTGGTGACGAGTCTTGGGTGTACAGTTACAAGCTAGAAACCAAACCCCAGAGGTCACAGTGGAAGCATTCTACGTCACGAAGACCAAACAAGGCTCACCAAGTGCGCAGCAACGTCAAAGTGATGCTGAGTGCTTTCTTTGACTCCCGCGGTGTGGTACACCACAAGTGGGCACCACAAGGTCAAACAATCACCAAAGAGTACTACAGGAATGTTCTCCGTCGCCTACGTGATGCTGTACAGTGCAAGATACCTGCATTCTGGTCAACAGGAAATTGGCGCATCCATCTTGGAAATGCTCTTGCACATTCCTGACACTCAGTTCAGACTTGTTTGGTGAAAAGACTCCTGTAGTTCAACAAACTCCTTACTCTTCTGATATGGCCCCCTGCGACTTCTGGCTGTTTCCCAAACTCAAGAGGACATTGAAAGGAGAGTGATTTCAGACAAGGGAGGACAGTATAACTTCAACGACAGCTGAACTATAGTACATTCCGAAACAAGCCTTCTCAGAATGCTTCCAACAATGGCAGTACCACTGAGAGAAGTGAGTGGAGTCCAAAGGAGACCACTTCGAGGAGGATTACGTTTCTCACTCTTCAATTATGTCAGTTTCTTTCTTCCACCAAAGGTCAGATACCTTTCTAAGAGACCTTGTATGCATCCAAGCCTATTAATTTGCATTTTTGCATATTGTATATATAAAAAAAGAATAACATTGCGTGCAGTTCTAAACGTTTTGCACTGCTACATAGTCGGGGCCAAGATGTGCTCCAGTGGCCTTCTTGTCATTGGAAGCTTTGCAGTGGCGCTAGCACACCACAGCCCCGCAAAGTGTACACCTCGCACTTAATCACAATAGCTACAAGATTGCGCACAAATATCAGCAGCTACACACTTGCGGGGGAAAAGGCAACTTGAGGTCGTAAACAAAACAAATTCATAGACAGGTGCGGATGTCTCAGGCTGACGCAAAACACACCATCGCCAGAAAACTTAAAGCTGAGGTGGTACAATTCTCAGACTCTATGCTCGTCCTCTCTCAGAAGGGACACGGATCCTAAAGACTGAAAAATCTCGAAAAAATCATTTTTTTTTAATATTACTTTCCAATTCCGCAGTGACTAATGCATAATCTGGCAAATTTTCGGGCGTCCTGGATTGATATTTTAGCTGCAGTAGCACTTTATATTATGCATGCGACAAGAATTTTTCTCGATGGACATGCAAAAATGTGCTTTTTTCCGGAACGCACAGCTGCCCTTTTACGTCCCAGGTGTGGCCATCTTGGTCCCATTCGAAAAAGCCGCGTTTTTTTTTTTTCTATTTTTTGTGCCACTGCTGCTGAATGCACCAGGCCGCCACCAAAAAAAAGCCCGTGAAAAGTTAGACTCGATGAGTAGTCCTATTGGTCTATTAGTGCAAGCCACAGTGAGCGCACACGCCATTGGCCAGAAGACAACAAAGACCTTTCATCCTCATGTTATTCACATTCTAATCATCTGAATAAACAGTTCTAAATACTGTGGCTTCTTAGAGCATTCGCTCACAACAGCTGGAAACCTGGATGTTTAGAAAGTACATAGACGACACATGCGTTACAACTTTGAGAAGTGATAAATCACTATTAGAAGTGAAATAAGAAAAGTACTCTTTCTCACTCGTTTAAAGCATGGCACCATGCACTGTAGAAAAGCTAGGACCATAAAACCACACTTGCTGCATAGCTTTACATATGAGGAATACCCTGACAGCAAGATATACATAGCCAGTTCGATAAGAATGTGATCAAATGATTAGCTCATAAATAATTTTGAAATTAGCGGCCTAGTGTAGCAAGGAACTATGTTTATTTTTCATATTAGAACATGAAAACATATAATCCCTCACGTTTTCATTATCCTAGTTCAAATAATAAAAAAAGGCTTTTTAAGTAAAAACCCCTTTGTCTAGATGGGCTCTGTTAACATCTCTTGTGCATGGCTGGCCTTGTTTTCTCCTTACATTTCGGCTATTCACTGCCACTTAACCGGTGGCCTGCATGGCATAAAAAAAATTAAAATGTTTGCTGCTTCCAAAGAGTAGTAAGGATGGATCTCTCTCATGAATGAGATACATATTAGACATTGTGCACGTGGGCCCCAACTTTTTGCTGGGCCAGGGCTTCAGTTTGGATAGCTGCCAGATGCTAGCTTTCGAAGCTTACTCATCAAAAGTGTTGAGAAGATATATCCTGTGATCTTGAGCCGTGCTACTATTGGATTTAAAACTTAGTTTTGACAAAATCTGATGAAGGCAGCCATCAAGAATTCTCTTGCAAGGCCACAGCTGACAATATGTGAGTGTGCCAGTGAAAATCAAGGGCGGCTCTTCAAATCCAAGAAGCGCAGCCGGGTGGTCAATTACACCTACATTGCGAGAAGCACATCCAATCAGGTAGCAATGGCAGGCTCAACAGCAGAAAGGTCAGTACTGGAAAAAATTTAACAACTTCCACAGCACCTGGTTTGTAGAACACGGCTTTCGTCTGCCCCCTTCACTCTGTCCAAACAACAATTAACGGGCTGCACTACTCACTGTGGACGTGCGGATCAAGCCCCAGGCGAAACTCAGGCAGTGGAGGCAGCTGCAGTTCAGACTCCATGAGACGGCTGTAGTGCTCAGACAGTTCCATAGCCTGGGCCAGTTGCCAGCTGTTGAAGGACAGCTTCAACTTGGGCCGCAGCTGCTTGCTCCACAAGAGGCCACTCTGTACGAAGTAACGGCACGTAGTCTAAGAGGCAAGCAAGTGGCTTAGAGGATATTCTTTGTTTGAGAGAAATAAGGTACAGACAACTCAGTGAAAAGCATACGAAATGAGTGTAGACTGCAAATGCTCCCACAAGCTAGCAGTTTATTTGAATGCCCAAATATATTTAATGTGAACTGATGCTATGTCCTCCTCATGCAAACAGCAACGATTACCTGAATACAAGCACAAAGAACTGTAGCTCCTCTTGGCAAGTACACTTCATGGGCAAACTCATCAAAATGAAATAATTATCAGCACTAAATCATGAAGATCAATTTAGATGGCATGCCACACACACCTGAGGCTTGCAGACTTTGAGCAGCATGGCACTCTTGGCACTGGTGAAGACATGCTGCATGAAAGGGGCCAGGAATGGAGCCTCAGAGGCCACATACTGGAATCCTTTCTCCCAGAAGCGTTCATCTGAAACAGGACCCAGATGGTGCTGCCTTAACCTAAGTTCATGTTGATTGGCCCATGTCGGCTATATCTGCCATCTTTTCGTGTGGTAGACACAGCCAAATCCCCTATCCCAGCTGGTCAGTGTGGAAGACAGGTCCCAAGCTGGTAATGGAACTGATACCAAATGCCACTGGAGCGGCTGATAAAACCGCTGCCAAGTCCTCTTGCCAAATAGCCCAGATAAAGCTATAGCTTTGAGTTGTTGCAAAGGATTTCTGGGCTATGTAACATTGCAGGTGGAGAGAACAAGTGAAAAGATTTGTCCTCTCGGGTCATTTATATGCTCCTTAGTGCCCTCGATGTGATGACCTTGTATATTTTATACATAAAATGTTTCATGAAACCTTAACTGCTTCATCAATCAATCAATAGCGGAAGTCTGATATCTGAGAGACCCAACAGCAATCACAGCGCTTTCAGTTATTCAACTAATGCAGTGCCTCATCCACCTTGGCCGAATGGCCCTAATAGATCTGTTGTCCAAAGACCACAAGCTATGCCTGCCTGTCATACACGCTCACTATTGATGCCGACAAAGTCGGGCAGTCTTATTCTCGGACGCGCAGATCAAAAACCACAGCCAAGCACTCGGGCCTATGCCCGACAGTGGACCTGGTGGCTGCAGTATTTTTTCGCTGGCTCCATGGACCATCGAAGCTTGAGAGGAAGCAAAGCAAGCCGCTCCGACTCTTGACCTCTGCCAGGCACTTGAAACAAACCATGACCGTGACACTGGCGAACCGCCTCCGCCCTGCTTCTACCCGCATGAACACTACATTCTGAACTATGCGGCACTCAACTATACGCGCCCGACTCTTTCCTCCAGTGCCTCGTGTCTTCTTTTTTTTTTTTTTTTCTCCCTCTTCGCCACTTCCCGCACTCATGCTGTTTCGCACCAGAACAACCGATATCATTGCCTTGTATTCCACCTCATGCCGGAGCACTGCTGATCTTTCGTGCCCACATCACAGCTACAGCCACCAATAATAACTATTTATTGGAGAAGAAGGCATGCAAAGCGAAGTCACTTAGAAGCATGGTGCACTTCGCATGTTTCGACTGCCAGTCTTTTAGATTTCCAATAGTTGTTGCAGCTGAACAGAGCACAGTGGAAGCTTGTCAACCTGTTTTAGTCTCTAAATTCTATTTTCAGTGGCACAATTGCTTTAGTGACTCGAAAAATTTAAACTCTCACAAGCCACGCAATGCAATATGCTGGAATTCGCACACAGCAGCAGCAGTGGTGGGGTGGCTGGATATGTAAGGGGGGAAAAGGAGAGTGAAGAAAATGCACTCGTTCGAGATTACCCTTCTTCTTTCCTTAAAATCCTCCACGTATATGCATTAGGCAAAGGGATGGGCATCGAGCTCACAAGTCATGTAGTATTGGCAGTCACCAATGACCAATTGGCAAAATGCTTATCTCAAACTACACTGCACAAAACTACAACCTGATGCAAAAAACACATTCCACATTCCCATCATACTTCTGTAGAGTCACACATAGCACAGCAACTATAGAGCCTTAATAAGACAGATGCTTGGGCTAGTTGGATTGGGAATCAACATATTTGCACAGCGCAAGACTACGAATAGTCACGACGTAACTACAGAAGAAGAGACAAGGACAGAAAGAGCACTGAAATGCTCTTCTGTCCTTGTCTTAGCGATTTTTCTGTCCTTGTCTCTTCTTCTGTAGTTACGCCGTAACTACTCGTAGTCTTGCGCTGTGCAAATATATAGAGCCTTGCTTTTGGTGAAGTCTTGAAGCCTACAGGAGCTGAGTTGACTAAATGCCAGTCCAGTTAATTATATTTCTGGTCCAATAAAATTCTTGTCATTGCATGAATAATTGACTAATGCCTAAACATTAAGGGAGCAAAGCAAAACAGACGAATGCATAATGCTTATAACTCACACATTAAAGAGGCCCTGAAGTACTTTTTCAAGTAACCATGGAACGGATTCACTAGAAGAGCTTATTGCCTCGCGAATTCAACACCAAAAAATTTTAAAAATTGGTCAAGTACGACTTGAGTTATAATGACTTGTCACAGGCTGCAATCGCATCCTCTCGTCCCGACGAAAGCGCTGGAAGGGAGGATCGGCATGGGCACAAAAAATATGTCATGCATGCCTCGTGACCTTTTTCTTTGTTTTCTTTATTCGAACACGCGACTTCTTCAGGATGATCACGCGCACGCCCGTGGAAAAGTCCCGGCCTTCCACAGCAATTTTTGTAACCACCGAGTACACCGTGTTTGAATCAGCCAATGGCTGATAAATGGCCTTCTACAAGTGGTTTTTGAGTATCTTCCATCATTCGTTGAGAGAAGAGAAAAAATTTTTCAGCTGACTTTGACAATTTATTGCAAATTCCAGGCCTCGTGCTGCGCTATAATATTTGGCTCGCATGTTCTCAGGAGCCTCTACAACTGATCGGCAGCATTTTCTGACCATGCTCAAAAAGTGTTCCAGGGCCACTTTAAAAAAGAAAAGACCGGTGCTTGTGCAGCCGCCACCCATTTTGTGAACACATGAATTCATGAACAACTTCGTGAACGTGGGTGTCACTGAAGACAATGGATCAACAAGCAGACTTGTCATTTTGCAGTCTTAAAGAAGACAGGTCCACTTGTAGAAGCGTCAGCTCCAGCCACCCTGTGCTCAAAAATATTTGATACGATTAACTTGGAACTTGATGCCGTAGCAAGTTGCGAAAATTTAGAACAATGTACCGATGCTGAGGTTTTTGTAGAAGAAAGACAGCAACACTAGAAAATGAAAATGAAAGGAAGGTAATGGAAAGAAATCAGACTCATTTTGCAGATTTCGCTTTTCTTAGACATGAAAGTAGATACTTGGAAAAAGCTGGGACTGAAAAAAATTGTACAGCTCTTTGCCCAACACTGCAGGGTTTGTTACGAACGCACTTTGACCCATCACTAGCAATGCTCCCACTGTCTGGAACCCGGCTACCTCGGAAAACGCCAGAGAACCAAGCTGCAGCAGTGTGCAGAACGCGTTGTGCAGTGCTTTCTTCACCTTGCTAGCCTTCCTCGAAATGCATCCTTCAGAGACGCAGCACGCATTGGAACAGCAGAACTGCGCCCTCCTCCTCCTAACGTCATCTGCTTCCTTAACCGCATGATTTGTACATACCTTGTTCTCTTTTAAATTGAATGTATTTGTTTTCTCTGGCTGCCTTTTGCCTTGCCAGTGCTTAGATGTTGCCAGCCCTGTCCATTGGCCCTCGCATCACGCTATCCAAGAGACCATGGGGCCTCTCGTAAGAGAGTAGAAATCATTATGTCATCATCATCTGCATAATTGGTGGCTTAGAACAATGACATAACAATAGGAAGTCAACTGATACAAAACACAGTGGCAGAGTTATTCAGGCTACTGCCCGTGCTCTTTCTTCCTGAACAACCTTTTGTGACATGGTTCCGGTGGCACATGGTGGCACATGGGATTATTGCTAGTACATAAGCTATTGCTACTACGCAGTGAAGAAATGATGGCAACTAGAGCTGTCAAGAAGGCAATAATACCAGGGAAGCCTGTGGGGGTGCTGACACCCCCCCCCTGTAAAGTTGTCTGAGCCGCGTGGCGCACGTGTCTCGTCCCAAGGCTTCGTTTCGGTGGTGACCACCGCCGGGCGATAGATGGCGTTGTGTTCGCTTTGAGTACCACTGTTGGTAGAGCGGTAGCGCCGGCAGTGGCCCCTGGTGGAAGGCAGGCCTTGGTGGCGGGCGAGCGTTGAGCGAGCCTCTTCTGCGCGTGGCGGCTGCCGCGAATGGCTGTCTGTAGAGCGGGTCCCCGGTGCTCGGCACCGCGGGCTTCGCGCCGGGGTCCCACGTGGAAAGTCAGGCGTTGGCGACGCCGCCTTGGGTATGTGCTAGTGTGTTGGGTGTGTTAGTGTGGGTTTATCATGTTATTGTGTGTTAGTGTGTCCCTGCGTTATGTTGTTTGTATGGTAGCGTGTTAGTTGAAATTGGTGTATCATTCGGCGGACGATATCGTCGTCTAAATTAGTTAATAAATGTATGTATGTTGTGGTGTGCTTTGTACCGACCGTGTCCACTGTGTCCGTTCACTCCAAGAGCGTGGCGTGGCGATGCGCGCGTTCGCCTCGCCGGGACCCCACACTGGCGCCCAACGTGGGGCTCTTGGAGTATCGGACGACAGTTTTTGCGGTTCGGTACAGGGATTTTGTTAGAGCCGGAGTAGAGTAGGCCTAGGGGGGACTTCTTTGCTAGCGTCGGTGGTGTGCTTTGTTGAGAAGCGAGGGGATTGGTTTTGTAACGTGTTTCAATTTGTCGGCAGGTTGACTTTCTATTTTTTTTTTTTGCTCGCAAGTGTTCTTATCTTTTTGTTGTTAGTTTTCAAAAACGTTGTTGAATTAGGACGAGAGCCATGCGGTCCGCATCCTGGGGTGAGCAAGGCCTAGAGCACGTGGTTTGTAGGCCAGGCCCGAAGCGAGTGAGTACGGAAGCCTCGTGGGTGGTCCCATTTTCTGTAAATAGCTTCTTCTATATCTTTGGGCTCAGGGAGCCGGGCGTCGTTGCTGACTTGTATTGCGGCTCGACGCCGGGGCGTCGTGACACCGCCCGGGGCGGTGGACGCCGATCGCTCGGTAAGCTGCTGTGTGCGGCGAGCGATAGGGCCACCTCACAGAGTGGACGTCTCCTCGCGGCTGCCTCTTCTGCGCCTAGGCTGGGTGCTGGGTGGATGCCGGTTGTTGCCGAGCGACTCATTAGGCCTAAGGCTCTGCGCAGCCGCCTGTCGCACGTGGCACAACTAGGTGGATCGTAGCGTTGAGGTGTTGCGCTCTGCTTCCCTCACTTTTTTTTTCCTTGTGAGCACGAGTTAGGAAAAGTGATTTTTGTTTTATTTTGATGGGCGTCTCGGCCGCCACCGATGTATTAGCTAGCAGTACTGACCACCGTACCACGTGGCCGAAAAGCCTGAAGCCCCCTCCCCTAGGCCGCGCTCCTTTGTTTCTTTCGAGTTTTGTTTTTTGTCGATGTATTCAGCGGGAGGGATGTCATCCACGGCCGGCTGTCCTGCACATCGTCAGCGTCGTTGGCCAGGAATGCGGTCGTGAGGTCGGGCGATGGAGATGCCTGGGACCTGCGCAACTGCCTGCAGTCCGGCGCCCTCGCGAGTGCTGGTCGCAACTGGAAGACGTGTCGGCGCTAGCGACAGATCGTCGCGCCGACGGCAACGTTGCTGTTGCGGGGGCCGGTACTGAGGTGAAGTCTAGCCGGACAGTGCAGCAGTGTCGACCGGCGGCGGTGTCGTGGTGCAAGGACATTGTGGTCGTGCGATATTATTTTTTTGTTAAAGCTTGTGTAGCTATTTTTTGATTTCGGGGTATGGTTTGATTTAAGGTTGGGGGAATGTGGGGGTGCTGACACCCCCCCCCCTGTAAAGTTGTCTGAGCCGCGTGGCGCACGTGTCTCGTCCCAAGGCTTCGTTTCGGTGGTGACCACCGCCGGGCGATAGATGGCGTTGTGTTCGCTTTGAGTACCACTGTTGGTAGAGCGGTAGCGCCGGCAGTGGCCCCTGGTGGAAGGCAGGCCTTGGTGGCGGGCGAGCGTTGAGCGAGCCTCTTCTGCGCGTGGCGGCTGCCGCGAATGGCTGTCTGTAGAGCGGGTCCCCGGTGCTCGGCACCGCGGGCTTCGCGCCGGGGTCCCACGTGGAAAGTCAGGCGTTGGCAACGCCGCCTTGGGTATGTGCTAGTGTGTTGGGTGTGTTAGTGTGGGTTTATCATGTTATTGTGTGTTAGTGTGTCCCTGCGTTATGTTGTTTGTATGGTAGCGTGTTAGTTGAAATTGGTGTATCATTCGGCGGACGATATCGTCGTCTAAATTAGTTAATAAATGTATGTATGTGGGGTGCTGGGTACCGACCGTGTTCACCGTGTCCGTCACTCCAAGAGCGTGGCGTGGCGGTGCGCGCGTTCGCCGCGCCGAGACCCCACAAGCCTCACCTCGCATCTCCACGTCCTGCTTATGTATTACAAAGGGAAATTCTTCGTAGGGGTCGTTGCAACACCCATTGTACAGCCACTCCTCCAGAAACCTGAAAGACAAAACAAGCAGGTACTATATACTGTAGAAAAATCACTACCATGCTGGAAATACCTCGTAAATAGAAAGACTGCCCTTTCTAAATGCAAGCATAGGCCCACTGGATTATCCTGCTCTTTCGCTGTAAGTAGTAGCTCTGGCCAAGACTAACGCATTTCAGATCACATGAAACAGTAGCCCCCTTCAACTTTTTATGTGCTTTGCTGTGTAGCATAGAACGCTTATAACATAAGTCAAGGGAGTCGCGAATATCCACACTATAGGCACTACCGCACTACAACCAAAACAACTTTTTTCAAGGACCGCACTTGCACAAAGTGTTTTGAGCATGCAGCACACGTGTCTGAGAATCGAAACATGCAATTCATGGTGTTTATAGCCATCTAATTTCGAAATGTTAAAGAAAATTTAAATTCCTTACACCCGCATTTCTAATGAAATTAATGCAAAAGGAAGGGTCTAACAAAAGAAAGCACTTTGCCGAAAGTTCGCCAGCTAATTCTCAGACCACCTTGAATATATGCATTATACAAAAACTATGATGTCCTAAAAATTGTTCCATTTCCCAGGCACGCACCCGATTTCAAGACAACGCAATCGAATCGTGAACCACCATCCAACTGCTGCATGTGCCATCTTTGTTTTCATTAATGATACGTATACTTTCCCTTCAAGTGCAGCCACCCCAAAGAGTTTCGTTCATTACATATCAAATCGCAACTTGTGTAGCATGCAACCACTACCAAAATGCAACCAGCGCTGATTAGGCCTAGCCTGCCGTTTAGTATGTTATCGCGGGAAGTTTGGCCTAGACATGAAGATCGAGCGTTAAAAAGATGACACCCAAGCACTAAACCAAAAACAACATGTGTAATACAAAGTTCCCATTCGCGGCCGCGAGATAAACGACGAAAAATCGTCAAGCTCATGTAAAACCGTGCACTGGCAGCAAAAGCGAAAGCTCACGTTCAAGGCCATAAAAGATTTTAAATTTACAGAGGAGGTAGCAAACTTGATATCTGTAGCATGTCTGATAATGGCAACGCTTTTTTCGACAAGAAACTTTTAAGTGAGGTTGATAAAGACGGGATCGCATGTGCCATGTTAAGCCGCGCGCGGGCGGCAGTGACGCTATGGTGTACTAGCGTCACTGGAGCGGCCAGAGCCACTCCAGTGACGCTAGTACACTGTATCCGTGTCAGCGCCGGTGCAAAGACCTTCCTCACATTCAACGTGCGCGCGCAGTGTGTTGTGGTTCGAGGTCTTTATTCCTTCTCTTTTTCCTCCCTCCGCCCTTTGCTTGTTCACTTCCCGTCCCCTCCTTCATAACGACTTTGTCGCTCACTTTCCAGTGGCACACCCAGCGCACCTCTTTTCAGATGCACATTCACTACCACGTTTCTGGCAACCGCATTATAACCAGTCGTTCATTTTGGGGGACTGCACAGTACTGTATGCATATATATGCGGTTCCATAGGAGGGCAAATGGAAGTCAAAAGAGACGACATAATAACCTGTTCGTGCGCTATAAATGGTAATGTTATATGTGGTCTATAACGTATCTTGCATGAGTATATTGCGGTGAAGCTCACTTTAGAACACCACTACGACAACAACCAGTCTGAAGCACTCGTTTTAGGCTGCAAGACAATCAACGCAGTTGAAGGAGTGGCTTGTATTAATTTCATTTCAAAACTGCAAGCAGGGCAGAAAGTCAGAAAGAAAAAGTAGATACCATAGGGTCCCCATTCCCGAAATTTCAGACGACCTCACACACTGACTTCGAGTGCCATGAAGACATCTTTCATGTCCGATTTCAAACATGTCCGAAATATTGGTTGTTGACTGTATTTACACTAAAGCTGTGCAAATATAAAAATTTTGGTTGCAAATCAAATTCAAATATTGAAGTGTGAGCGTGAATCGAATAGAATATCTTTCTAATATTTCTCAAATATTTCTTGGATATTTTTCGAATACTACTTTCAAGCGATACTGCGGAGAAAAAATGTTGAAGAGGTTTCTGTCACCAGTAAGAGCCCCTCTAAGACAAAGAGAACGACGGAATTCAGAGAAGATTGGAAAAGGCACAAGCACACGCACCGTACAGCGAGGAACGTGACCCCAGCTGCGATTGGCGCACGAGCAGCGACGAGCTCGCATTGTCGACGTGGACTTGAAAGAAGAAGGTCACATCGCCAGCAAGTGCACTGGCGATGGAAGCGTCAGGGCAGCAACTTGGAACCTCGTGACGCAGGCTGTCTCGAGAAGCGGACGGAGACCTGCTGCGAGGGAGGCTGCTACTTGGGATACAGCAGCGGCGCACAGGAAATGCCGACGTTCCTGGTGCAAGCTCCCTTCGGTGCAAGCCATCGAAGACAGTGCCTTGGTGGCCACGTCACCGTGCAGCACCAGGTATCTCCAGCGGCCGCTAGGCCCAACCACCGACACATCCGCCACGTCAGCAACGACGTAAGGCGATGACGGCGGGCAGCGGCAGAGACGGCGACGTTCGTTGAGAGCGTCGAGGACATCGAGAGTGACGCAGCGTGACTGATCTTGGACATTGACAAGCCGCGAATTGGCTTGGACAAGTAAGGTCGGTGCGAATAGTTACCTTATGATGATTAGGACAGTATTGGTGTGTGAAGGCATTTGTTTGGAGATTTACTTTGGGAGCTATGACTGCTTGTTTTGTACATTTTTGTATATATCTTAGAGTGCCGTGAGTGGTTAATTAATGGGTATTGTTGCTAGCAGAATCATGTCTCAATTCGTTGCCTGCAGCAGCAGCCCATAATCCATGACAATTGGCAAGCCTGCCAGGGTTGAATCCGGCCCAGCCACTGATTATCGATTGTTGCAGTGATGGATTGGGACAAAATGTTAACGGTTATTTCAGAGCAAAAGCTGAGTAAGAAAAACAGTTTAAGGTTCTTCAAAGAAAAGAGCGCACGTGTTTGTAAAGAGAGCGAATGCCTTCAACGAGTGTTAAAGGTGGAACGTGCCAAACTAAAGTCAAAAGAGAAGCAGAAGCTCGAGTGCAAATTGTTATAGACACTAGCTAAAACAGACATTATACCAGATGAAACTAGGCCAACAATGGTCTTAGATAAAGGAGTTTGTGCGCTTGATGCTCAGAGTTTCGTGTCAGCTGAGCAAGGCTGCAGTGAGTGCGATAATTGTGCAAAAGAGAGTGGGTTCTTATTTACTCAACCTAACGAAAGTGGCTCAAGTGCTACAAACACCAAAAGTTCTGTTGAAGGTATAAAACAAGAGAAAGGGATGCCTAGAGACTACAAAGAAACAGGGCATGGCTATTCTTTCATGAGCATGCATGTAGAAGAAACCAGTGTTCAGCGTTCGCAAGATATAGTACCAGAGGGTAGCGAGATAAGAGTGCCTGAGACGCACAATAGTAAGGCTTAGAAAAAAGCTGGCTGTCAAGAACTAGTAGCAACTACCAGGACGCAAGAAAAGGTGCTCATCTTGTGAATGATAGACACCTAAGATGTAGAAGAAAGAAAGTGGCGAGAATGCCTACTGTAGGTCTTAACTGTTTGGATGCTGAGTGTGTGGGGCAAGCAATTAGCGTCAAATATCGAGATGGAACGCAGCCTACAAAGGTTGATGCGAAGGGGACACCAGAGTAGATTAAACAGAGGCAGAAGCTGTGTCGAGGGTTTTAGACAATGGGCCGCGAGCGGATGTAAGAAGAAACTAAAAAAGACGCGGAACGTGAAAAAGCACCAATGGAAGTATGCAGTCTCATACTGGTGGTTGCCCTAGAGAAAAAAAAAAGTGTCGATTTGTTTCTGTTTGAAGTAGATCAATCCATGGTATTATTGGAAGTTGAGTTCTGTACACAATGAAATTGTGAACATTTTTGAACAGTGAGGGTCGCAAGCTTTTTGTAGTTAAATTTATGAGGGTAGCTGAACAGTGTTAAAGACAATGAACTCGTAGATTTGTTTTTCAAATGGGCAGTGTGGTGGTTGATATGTTCCCGAAAGTGCATCGTGATGACCAGTAATCAGTGAAAGTAAAAGTGAGCAACGAACAAGAAAATTCAAGAAATTAAGGACCAAGCATAGGGCGACAGAGTGACAGTGGTCAGTGAAAAGCAGTTTATTAAGAAAAAAAAAATGACAGCATATCCACGGGGTGAATGATGGAGAGTGGGGTGAAGCTGGGCCCACACGCCGCTTCCGCGTCACTTCGGCCTCTCGTTGTTGTACTGCAGGGCCCTCGCTGCACCGCCGCGCAGTGAATCTTCTGCCACGTGCGCCCTCACAGCGAGGTCCCTTGAAGCGCAAGCCGCAGCCACCCTGCGCGCACGCCGCTCAGCAGCCTTGTAGATCATCCGTTGCCGAGCCTCTAAATACGTGCGCCAGAACGGTGCTTTTATTGTACTATAGAGCACTCCCTCGTATATGGCATCGCCAAAGAACACGCGATCGTAGTTGCGGGATCGTCTCTTTCCTTTTTCGTACGTGTGACGTAAACTCCTTTTTTCTACAAGTAACGCCGTCTAGTGTCAAACCATTTGCATTTTTCAGCGTATAGTACGACTACCGTCCTCTATGGCCAGTTCAAGAACTAACGAGGGGCGGTTACCCCCAACGGGGTCACGCAAGTCACGCCATAAGAAGCTTCGCTCCTTAAACTCTTGGGGAGGGGGCGTATGTCAAGAGTAGGAGCCCCTCAGAGACAAAGAAAACCATGAAATTCCAAGAAGACTAGAAAAGATGCAAGCGCGCGCGCACCGTACAGCAAGCACGTGACCCCAACTGCGATAAGCGCATGAGCAGTGACAAGCTGGCATTATCGACGTGGACTTGCAAGAAGAAGATCGCATCGCCAGCAAGCGTACTGCCTACACGAGTGTCAGGACAGCGACTCGGCAGCTTGTGACGCGAACGTCTCGAGAAGCGGACGGAGACCTGCTGCGAGGGAGGCTGCTCGGGATACAGCAACCGCCGACATTCCTG